TTATAAGCATTTCCTTTTCTCTGCATCCTCACCAATACCTGTTATTTTTCGAGTTTTAATAACAGCCATTGTGATTGGTATAAGGTGGTATCTCATTGTGGTCTTAATTTGTATTTCTCTGATGATTAGTGATGTTGAGCATTTTTTTAAGTGCTTTTTGGCCATATGTATGTCTTCTTTTGAAAAATGTCTGCTCATGTCCTTTGCCCACTTTTTAATAGGATAATTTGTTTTTTGTTGTTGTTGAGTTGTTTGAGCTCCTGGTAGATTTTGGATATTAGTCCTTTGTTGGATGCATTGTTTGTAAATATTTTCTCTCATTCTATAGGTTGTTTGTTCACTCTATTGATTATTTCTTTTGCTGTGCAAAAGCCTATAGTTTAATTAAGTTCCATTTGTTTATTTTGTTGTTTTTATTGCAGTTGCTTTTGAAGTCTTAGTCATGAATTCTTTGCCTTGGCCATTGTCCAGAAGAGATTTTCCTAGGTTTTCTTCTAGAATTTTTATAGTTTCAGGTCTTACATTTAAGTCTTTAATCCATCTTGCATTAATTTTTGCATATGGTAAGAGACAGGGATCCAGTTTCATTCTTCTACATATGGCTATCTGATTTTCCCAGCACTATTTGTTGAATAGGGTGTCCTTTCCCTACTGTATGTTTTTGTCATTTTTGTCAAAGATCACTTGGCTGTAGGTATGTAATTTTATTTCTGGGTCCTCTATTCTGTTTCATTGATTTTTGTGTCTATGTTTATAACAGTACCAAAGCATAGTTATTTTAAAGACCAACCCTGTGTCTACAGATTATTATTTCTAATGATTTTTTAAAACTTTTACCATACCGTCTTCAGTCTTCCTCTCACTAGTTCTTTTTATGCCAGACATAAACTAGATATTATATGTTGAAAAATACAGTAACATTTTGAGGCCTAGCAATGATGTTATCATCCTCTAAAACAATCTTCCTTTTCTTTTTCCAGGTGGTTAGGAGCATTACCAATCCCAGATCACCTTATGCCAATATAAAAGAGTCAGATAATTCAGAGTTGTTTCTTTTTAGGACTGGTCTACTTTTCAGCTCACTTTCATTCCTAGGCTATCCCAATTCAATGCTTGAAGGTTTGTGAGATGTCAATTTGTTAAGTCTGATGGGCTCTGAATTTCAACTTTTATTTTTCTAGCCCTGTGAATTTGTTTCAAGTTCTGCTCAGTTTTTAAACCTCTCTGCATTTCTTGTGGGATAGTGAGATGCACCTATACCC